CTCTCTCTCTCTCTCTCGCTCGCTCTCTCCTCTCTTCCCCTCTATCCCTTGGTACATAGTAGAAAATGCTCCACAACAATGAACCTGATTGTGTGTTTTTCCTTTCTCTCTCTAAAACTTGCAAAACTAGAAGGTGTATGAGAATCTGGAACCATCATCTTGTATACATTGGCTGATTTGACAGAATAATAAGACAACAGAATAACAGAGTTGGAAGGGACCTTGGCAGGGACCTTCTAGTCCAACTGCCTGCTCAAGCAGGAAACCCTACATCAATGATGGCTAACCTTTTTGTCCTCGTGTGCCGAAAGCATGCGCGCGCCCACACCCACAATGCAATGCGTGCAAAACACCTCCCCACATGCCCCATCCCCTGCGCATGCATGTGCTCCCCTCTGTGCTCCCCCCAGCCCACCCATCTATGTGTGCATGACCCCACCACCCCGTTTTGGGCCTAGCAGACCTCCCTGAGCCTCCTGGGACCAAAAATGGGCTGTGGGGGGGTGTGCACTCCCCCATGCCCCGTTTTGGGCCTAGCAGGCTTCCCTGAAGCCTCCTGGGACCAAAAACGGGCTGTGGGGGGGTGCAATCCTCCATGCCCTGTTTTGGGCCTAGCAGACCTCCCTGAGCCTCCTGGGACCAAAAATGGACTGCGGGGGGTGCACTCCCCCATGCCCCGTTTTGGGCCCTAGCAGACCTCCCTGAAGCCTCCTAGGACCAAAAACAGGGTGTGGGGGGGGTGCAATCCTCCATGCCCCGTTTTGGGCCTAGCAGACCTCCCTGAAGCCTCCTGGGACCAAAAATGGGGCATGGGGGGCACGCTGCACCCCCTGCGCTCCCCCACATACGTGCTCATCTCCCACATACATGGCAGAGACATGAAAATCAGCTGGGCGACGGGGGGCGCAGGCACATCCGCGGTGGAGGTGAGCTGGGCAACAGCTCGTGCACCCACAAAGAGGGCTCCTCATGCCACCTGTGCATATGTGCCATAGGTTCGCCATCCCATCCCTACACCATTTCAGACAAATGGTTGTCCAATCTCTTCTTTAAAGATCTTTAAAGGTCCAGCTGACCTTGCACTGCTTTTTCTGAATTAGATATTCAGCGATGTTCTTCAGGTGAGCATCTTTAGCAGATGCATCAGTGAAGACAAAGATCTCAGAGTAGGGAGACGAGTTCTGGAGGGCAAGCTAAGTCAAAAAAGAGAAAGACGAGGAAGATTCATATACATCCCCTGAGCATGACATTTAACAGAAGAGAATAACAGTCAGAGAGGATCTTGGAGGTTTTCTAGTCCAACTCTCTGCTCAAGCAGGAAACTCTGTACCACTTAAGAAAAACGGCTCTCCAATCTCTTCGTAAAAATCTACAGTGTTAAAGCACTCTCAACTTCTGGAGGCAAGTTGTTCCACTGTCAGGAAATTTCTCTTTCATTCTGAGTTGCTTCTCTCCTTGATTAGTTTCCACCCATTACTTCTTATTCTGCCCTCAGGTGCCTTGGAGAATAGTTTGACTCCCTCTTCTTTGTGGCAACCCCTGAGATATTGGAACACTGCTATCATGCCTCCCCAAGTCCTTCTTCTCATTAAACTAAACATAGCCAGTTCCTGCAGCCATTCTTCATATGTTTTAGCCTCCAATCCCCTAATCATCCTTGTTGCTCTTCTCTGCACTCTTTCTAGAGTCTCCGCAACTTTTTTACATTGTGGCGACCAAAACTGAATGCAGTACTCCAAATGTGGCCTTACCAAGGCATTATAAAGTGGTATTAACACTTCCCGTGATCTTGAGTCTATCCTTCTGTTAAT